TGGTTTCACAGCATGGTGCCTGTTCTGTCTGCTACGCTAGTCTAAATAAGAAGAGGAAGCTGCTTAAGCCTCTGCCTGCCTGGGGGGTGACTCTGTTCCCTGGATATTCCTACAGAAGGAAGGGGATTCCAGAAGCCAAGAGGAGACATCAAGGATTGCCCAACCCCACCACCACCACCACCGTCGTTCTCCACTCTCCAGTTATTTGCTGCCCCCAAGTGTCCAGTGACAGACTTGTTCTTGGGTCCCTGCCACCAAAGAACAGCAGATAGCTGAGAAGCCAGGTTGACCAGCCCTGGAGACTCGCAACTGCCTGGCACTCACTTCCTTTCTCAACAACCTCAACCCCTTGACCATACCCTGGCTTGGGTTCAATATCTCAGTCCAAGTTTGGAGAGATTACAGTGGAAGACTGGCCTTAGTAGAAAGCAAAGGATACTGTGGCTGGGGCCTTCCTAGAGAAAACTGCCCTCACTAAAGAGCCTCTCTGAACCGCCTGCCCAGAGACCGCCTTCTCTGGATCCAGCATCTGGCCTGCTGCCTCCCTGCCACCCCTGCCAGTAGTCCACTTCCTGTAATTAGGCATAGACTAAAACTGACAGTAATATATGCACAGTTAGGGCTGGGAAGGTGGCTTAGTGATAGAGTGCTCACCTAGCATACATGAAGCCCTGGGTTCCACATACACAGAAAAAGCTGGAAGTGGCACTGTGGTTCAAGTGGTAGAATGCTAGCCTTGAGCAAAAGAAGCTCAGGGACAGTGCCCAGGCCCTGAGTTCAAGGCCCAGGACTGTTCCCCCATCTCCCTCCCCCCCAAAAAAATATATATAAATATATATATATATAAGCTCAGTTCAAGACACACAAAACTTCTAGGCAGGCAGGCAGGCGTGTGTGTGTGTGTGTGTGTGTGTGTGTGTGTGTGTGTGTGTGTGTGTGTGTGTGCGCGCGCGCTCTGGTAGTAGAGCTTAAACTCAGGGCCCAGAAACCATCCTTTTGGCTTTTTTATTCAAGGCTAGTGCTCTACCACTCAATCCATCTCCACTTCCAGTACCCTGCAAGGCAGGTGTTTAATTTTGTGCCCCAGTACCAACATACTCACACACAGGATAACTTTGAAGCCAGCAGTAGTGGCTTACCCTTGTAATCCTAGCTACTCTGGAAGCTATGATCTGAGGATTGCAGTTCAAAGCAGCCTGGGCAGAAAACTTCAAGAGATTTTTTTTTTTTTTTGGTCAGTAGTGGGGCCTGAACTCTGGGCCTGGGCTGTAGTCCTAGGGCCTTTATCTCTTTTTCCTTTCCATTCTGTTTTCATAATGACACATATTCTACCATATTCTACTTTTTTTTTTTTTTTTGGTCTGGGCGTGGGGCCTGAACTCTGGGCCTGGGCGCTGTCCCTCAGCTCTTCAGCTCAAGGCGGGCGCTCTACCACTTGAGCCACAGCGCCACTTCCGGCTTTTTTCTTTTTGCTTATGTGGTGCTGAGGAATCGAACCCAGGGCCACATGCATGCAAGGCAAGCGCTCTACCACTGAGCCACCTTCCCAGCCCTCTACCATATTCTAGCTTTCAGATAGCTGTTGAGTTGAAATTTTGTGAGATGGGTACGATATTGAATGGATACTGAATCAAGTAAAAGGACCTTGGAAGAGGAAGTTGGAGGAGGAAGGAAAAGAGAAAAGGAAAGATGGATTGGGAGAAAATAGTTGTTGGACCAGAGACCTTGATGGCTCTGAAGCAGCAGCAACATGGAAGGAAGGTCATGGTATGATACAGGGTGCTTTTGAATAAATAAAGCTGGAGGTGGGAGATCAGGTGATGGCAAAATCCAAGATAAGGTACAATGGAGAAAACTACTGGAGGAAAGTCGTGAGTTTTGGGTGGTCATTGACATGATCCAGAATAATGAATGGAAGGGACTTCAGTGAAAAGCAAAATGGTGTCAGGGGCTAATGCATTTGAAGAGAGGATTAAGAGCCAGACACCTGTGGCCTAAATTTGTAATCCTAGCTACTCAGATTTGAGGATTGCAGTTCAAAGCTAGCCCAAGCAGAAAAGACCATGAGATCATTAACCACTAAAAACTGAAAGTACAGTTGTAGTGATAGAGCAACAACCTTGAGCAAAAAATCAAAGGGACAATGCCCAGCCCCTGAGTTCAAACCAGCACAGGAGGGGGGGGGAGGAGGGAAGGAGGGGGAGAGGGAGGGAAAGAGAGAGAGACTAGTTTTGCTATTAGAGACATAAAGCATCAAAATTAACAGAGATTAAGAAAACCAAGCACAGTGGTTTACACCTATAATCCCAACTACTAATAGGTGGAGAACAGAAGCAGGAGGAACCAGAGTTTGAGGCCAGTCTAGGCAGTTAGTGACTTGATCTCAAAAGCAAAATACAAACAAGGCTCAAGTGGAAAATTGTCTGACATGCTTGATTCAGTCCCCAGTAACCTCAGTGTCTGCACACATACATGCAAGTGTGCATGCACACACATACAGATAAAGGATGCTATATTTATTTTGCATGAGGATTGAATTCAGCCTGGCACAGGCTAGGCAAATATGTTACTATACAAGCCACACCCTTAGCCTTTTTATTTTTATATGAGGTCTTTTTCTTTTTGGTGAAATGGGTTTGAACTGAGGAAAGGCCTTGTGGTTGCCAGTTTACCACTTGAGTCATGCCTCCAGTCCTGCTTTGTGTGTGTGCATGTGTGCACGTGCGACAGTCCTGGGGCTTGAACTCAGGGCCTGGGCACTGTCCCTGAGCTTCTTTTGCTCAAGGCTTGCACTCTACTACTTAAGCCACAGCTCCACATCTGGCTTTTTTTCTTTTTTTGGGTCCAGTAGTGGGGCCTGAACTCTGGGCCTGGGCGCTGTCCCTCAGCTCTTCAGCTCAGGGCTAGTGCTCTACCACTTGAGCCACAGCGTCACTTCCGGCTTTTTTCTTTTTGCTTATGTGGTGCTGAGGAATCGAACCCAGGGCCTCAGGCATGCAAGGCAAGCGCTCTACCACTGAGCCACCTTCCCAGCCCACATCTGGCTTTTTCTGAACAGTTTATTCCAGTCTCATGGATTTAACTGCTCAGGCTAGCACTGAACCTTGATCCTTAGATCTGTCTCCCAAATAGGAATACAAGCATGAGCCACCAATGCCTGGCTCAATTCTACTTTTTGCTGGGTATTTTGGAAATGGAGTCTTGTAGAATTTTTTGTACAGCCTGGCTTCAAACTATGATCCTCCAGATTTCCAGCCTCCTGAGTAGATAGAATTATAGGGCTAATATTATATAGTAGCTAGAATTATACCCAGCTCTCAGCTAGAGATGAGGATGTTAATACCTTTCCTTGAGGTGGCCTCTATCTTATGATCTTCTGTATCCAATTACTTAGTATCTAAGGTCTAAGTGTGTACCACAAGGCCTTGGTTGTTGTCTGTGAGCACAACCCTAGTGAACATTTTGGATGTTCTGTATCTACAGAGGGTTATCAGATATTGGAGACCAATTGGCAATCTCTTCTGCAGGGAGAAATGTGGAAGTCAGTAGCATTGAGGAGTGAAGATTGTGTAATAGAATGGCAATGAGCCTCTGGGCAAGGTTTTCTTTGAAGAGGGTAGAAGAGTTTGCAGTGGTAGCCCAGGGAGTCGCAGCACCAGTTCCCCAGTGATGTTGAAGTTATCAAATTAAAATCCCTACTTGGAAGCAGAGGAAAGGAAAAGCTCCCTCCCCTAAGTGACTTGCTAAAGTCTCAGGTGGGGAAGAGAAGAACTGGGCCAAGGACAGGACTATATGGATACTGGCTGAGAATATTATTTACCAAACCAAAAACTACCTCCAAGTTTTTTTTTTTTTGGGTCCAGTCGTGGGGCCTGAACTCTGGGCCTGGGCGCTGTCCCTCAGCTCTTCAGCTCAAGGCTAGCACTCTACCACTTGAACCACAGCGCCACTTCTGGCTTTTTTTTTTTTTTGCTTATGTGGTGCTGAGGAATCGAACGCAGGGCCTCACGCATGCAAGGCAAGCGCTCTACCACTGAGCCATCTTCCCAGCCCACCTCCAAAATTTTGAGGACAGGGACTGGTGGTTATAACTGTAGTCCTAGCTACTCTGAAGGCTGACATTAGGAGGATCAAGGTTCAAAGCTCAAGGGCAGCCAGGGCAAAAAGTTCGAGACCCCCTTCATCTCCATCAATAGTAAGGATAGTTATATGTGCCTATCAGTCCAGCTATAAGGCAGGCTGAGATTGGGAGGATCACAGTTCTAGGCCAACTCAGGCATGAAGTTCACAAGACCCCACCTCAACAAAAGCTAGGAGTGGTGGTATATGCGTTATCCCAGCTATAGTAAAAGTATAAACAGGAGGCTCACCGGCAAGGTTGTCCTGAGGAAAAAGTGAGAACTGTGTCAAAAATAACCACAGCAAGGTAGGCCCTGGTGGTGCACACCCATAATCCTAACTACTCAGGAAGCTGAGATCCAGAGGGCCGCAATTCAAGACCACTCCAGAAAAGCCCATGACTCCATCTCCAAAATAATCTGCAAAAAGCAGGCCTGGAGGCATGGCCCAAATGGTAGAGCATCATTCAAGGTAAGCCAAGCCAGCCTACAGAGCAGGCACCTACAATATGACATTGTCCATCATTTTTTTCTTTTCCTAGAGGCTCCCTCCACCCGCTGTACCATGCTTTCAGGGATATAAGATTACAGGCTTCAGCAGGCACCGATGGCTCATGCCTGTACAAATCCTAGCTACTCAGGAGCCTGAAATCTAAGAATCAAGGTTCAAAGCCAGCCCAGGTAGGAAAGTCCACGAGACTCGTATCTCCAATTAACCACCAGAAAACCATAAGTGGAGTTGTAGCACAAGTGATAGAGAGCTAGCCTTGAGCTGAAGAGCTCAGAGACACCACCCAGGCCCAGAGTTCAAGCCCTGCAACTGACAAAAAAAAAAAAAAAATAATAATAATAATAAATAAAAAATTACCAGCTTCATTTTTTAGGAAAAAAATTCTTTAATCAACATGTCCCAACTTTTTTTGAGAGAGTCAACCAATTCAACTCGAACAATGTAGCAGGCCTGAGGAAGTGACCTCGGTACATCTTTGGGAGCAAAGGAAACAAGAAATGATGAATGACAGCTGCCAGCAAGAGCAGCTGCTTCCAGGAAGTGTGACCTCCTGGTGGTAGGAAGCAGCTGTTCCTTAGAAATTCAGTGACCAACTCGCAGCAGTAAAATTACCCATAAACCTTCCTTTGTTAGAAAGGGGAAGAGGAACTATCAAGTACTTTGCTAAATTTACATGAGAGCTCAGAATACATATTAAAGGTCCAACACCGGCTTGGCTCAGTGGTGTTATTTTAAATTCAGGTGCATTACTGCTGGGTACCATAGCTAATCTAGAAACATTAATGAACTGAAGATAGGACAAACAAATTTCAGGAATATGCACTTCAGAGGCAGGCACCAGGATGTCTCTGAGACATGGCCTAAAATCCCATCACGAGAAAATCCTGCAAGCAACTTCCTCACCTCTACCACTATACATTTTGCTGTTTCCAGAAGGGCAGATTTGCATATGCCCTCCACACTTTAAACCCCAATGAGAAAAGGGGGACATAATGCCAGGTGTGGCATAGGCCCAATAAGCTGAGGCAGGAAGGAAATTCCAAGCTGCCTGGGTTACAAAGTAAGATCCTGTTTTAAACAATTTTTAAAGAAAGAAAGAAAAATAGATGGGGGAGAGAAGGAGTCAGGGACCCAAAACATCTCTTAGAGCCCAAATGAGGGAAGTAAGACACAATGTGGTAATTTCTGGAGAGTGAGGTGGGAGCAGCAAAATTACCTCCAACTCTTGTCTTATTAGCTACAAGCTGTTTCCTGGGGCTGGAAGGAGGCAAACCAGGTTAGGAAACAGAATAGAGAACAGGTTAACAGATGCAGATTAACAACTGAGCTACTATGGGCATTTTGGTCCTTGCTTATCCAGGAGGCAAGCCTGTGGGGTGCTCCTGAAGGCGATGAAGGAGAGGGCAGCAAGCGCTTGGAAGACGCGCTGTGGGCCGGGGTCATCGCTAGCCTGCTCAGCAGCGCTGCTCCAGGGTCCAGTTCCGGGCATTGATGAAAAGCTGGAGCCAGGGGGAAGTGGTGAGGGTGCTGAACGGAGGGGGTCTCCATGCCCACTGCCAAGGCCGCACAGCCCTTTCAGGGTGTGGCATGAGCGCCAGGTGGCGGCCATCCTGGGAGCAGACGCCAGCCACGCCCCCTGGCGACCCATTGGGATTCAGGGGGTACTGTTCTGTGGGGTTCCCGTCATCATCTGCCCAATGGAGGGGAGCCAAGCCTTTGGCCTCCATCTGGGCTTGGAGTTCCAGAGAAGAAAATGCCATGTAACCTGGAAGGAAACGATGGTGAAAGCCAAGTTCCTTCGGGCCCTCCCCCCCCCAGCCTTGGGGCACCCCTCCCACCCCCGGGTCTTCTCGGGTCTCACCTTCACCATGGGCACTCCACACTGGCAGCACAGCCCCCTCCATCCCTCTCAGCATCAAGGCAGGACCCGGCCCCACACGCACACTGGCCCATCGAGACTCAAAACGCCCAGACAGGTTGTGGCGGAGCAGAAGGCCAGGCTGGGCTGGCCAGGAATCATGGTCCTTCTCCGCTGCCTCTTCACTGGGGTTGCCTCCCACCCAGCCTAGCAGAGCCAGCAGTTGGCAGCCATTGCACACGCCTAGGCTGAAGGTGTCTGGCCGCTTCCTGAAGCGCGACAGCTCAGCCCTGGCCTGAGGATTAAAGGTTACGGCAGCTGCCCATCCTAGGAGAAGCATGAAGGTTGAGGTGAGAAAAGGGGAAATGAAGAATGAAGGGGGGCAACTGCTCTTTCCTGCCTGCAAGCCTGCCCTCTCTGTGAAGTCTGGGAATGCTCAAGGGAAGAAATGGTCTTATTTGCTTATTTACCATTCTCTTTTTTCTGGTGAACCTGATTTGAACTCAGGACCTTGTCCTGGCCAGGAAGGTGCTCTATCGCTTGAGCTATGTCCCCAGCCCTTTTGGCTTTAGGTATTTGGGGGATTTGGTCAGCATTTTTGCCCAAGCCAGCCATGACCTCATCCTTCTATTTGCTCCTCCCTGGTAGCTGGGATGATAGGGTACACCACCCTGCCCAGCCTATTGGTTGTGATTGGGGGGGGGTTATCTTCCCAACTTTTCCCATGCTGACATCAATTGGTGATCCTCCTAATCTGTCTCCCAAGTAGCTGAGATTACAGGAGTGAGCTACCATGCTCAGCCCTATCTTTTTTTTTTTTTTTAAGTAATACTGAGGTTTGAACTCAGCCTCAAGTACTCTATCATTTAAGCTATACCCTAAGCCCTCCTCATCTGTTTTAATTAGCTGTCACTAATGCCAAAAGCAGCCCATGATTTTCTTTTTTGCTGACCATAGACACATTAAAAAAATTTTTCCTATTGGTGCTAATGGCTCATGCCTGTAATCCAATCCTAGCTACTCGGGAGACTGATATCTAATGATGACAGTTCAAAGCCAACCTGCGCAAGAAAGTGTGTGAGACTAATTTCTAATTAACCAAAAAAAAAAAAAAAACTGGAAGTGGAGCTGTGGCTCAAGGGCTAGAGCACTAGCCTTGAGCAAAAGAAGCTCAAGGACAATGCCCAGGCCCTGAGTTCAAGCCCCCGGACCAACACACAAATACACAAAAAGTTTAGTTACCTAACAACTAAAAATAAGATTTGGGGGTGGTGGTGACAATGATCAAGATATATTGCATACATGAACTGACATGTCCAACTGAAAAACCCTTTTGTACAATGATTTAGAGATAATTTAAAAAATAATTTATTATTTATTTTTGTCAGTTGTGGGCTTGAACTCAGGGCCTAGACACTGTGCCTGAGCCTCTGTGTGGTCAAGGCTAGTGCTCTATCACTTGAGCCACCGCGCCACTTTGGGTTTTTGAGTGGGTAATTGGAGGTAAGAGTCTCACAGGGACTTTGAACTGCAATTCTCAGAGCTAGGATTACAGGTGTGAGCCACTGACAACCAGATAAAAAAACTAATTTTAAAAACTAAAAAACAAATAAAAATGAGATTTGGCCTGAAGATGCATGTAGCTCAGGGGTAGAGTGCTTACCTAGCATGCATAAAACTCTGGGTTCAAACTCTACCACCACGTAGGAAGAAACAACAAAAAAACCCACTATATTTTCACTTGTCTCAAAACACCAAAAATCTGGCCTTAGCTGGGCATGGTAGGGATGCCTGTAATTTTAGCACTTAGGAGACTGAGATGGGAAGATTCAGAGATTTTGGTCTGGGCTACAAGGCAACACCCTGCCTCAAGAACTCCAAGATTTGAGCATGCGCAGCCATCTTCCCCACAAGACTATCTGCTAAGGCTGGGTGGCAGCTGCCCCTTTAGATAGGACATGCACCCTCGAAGTTGGCATAGCCCCACCCAGCCCACCCACCTCAGCTTTCTGCCAGTATCTGACCTTGAGCCAGACTGTTCACTCTTCTCTGGCTCTGTAGAGATAACAGGCCAATTCCTAGCCCAGAAGAGGGCCAAGGTACCTCCTCAGTTCTATGTACATGGAGTTGCAGTAGTCTGCACACTAACCTTTGGCAGAGCCTAGGACATCTGCGTAGCTAAAGCCACCCACGAAGGCCACACCAGTGAACGTGTCTAGCCCAATGGCCCCACAGCAGAGGTCCTGCATGGTCACATCCCACACCTAGCAGGACAGGGAGAAAGTCAGAAGAGCCACAGGCTAAGGCTGCTGAGGCAAGGCCCCCAGCCCTGGCCAGCCACCTTGCTCACCTCAAACCCAGCCAAATGGAAGGCATCAGCCATCTCCCGGTCTCCATTACTGCCTTCTTCTCGCAAGATGGCAACTCGGGGGGTGGGACCACCTGGAAGAAGTGACTTTGGACCTGAGGGTTATTTCCCCAAACAACTTCTCCAGGGCTGGCCCAGGCATCCAGGCTTCTCACTCCATGCTCCAAGCCCAAGCAAGCCAAGCCCTTACCTGGCTCCCTAGGCACGGAGGCTATGGGGAAGGTGGGAGGCAGGCAGTAGTTAGGACCTGTCCGCTCCCTCAAGCCCCGCTCCTCCTCTGCTACACAGTGTGGCTCTGCCTGCAGCCGGTCTAGCTGGAAACTGGTCTCCTCCCAGAGAGCTCGCAGCTGCCCTACAGATTCCTCCACAACTACATCCCCATTCACTGACACCCGAACCTGGAGAGGGGAAAATAATCAATCAAGGGCTAGAAGAAAGAACCATCCTTCCATGGCCGACACAGTGGCCCAAGGCTTCCTAACTCCCAGCTTCCCATGGGCACTGCTCTCTCCCTGGCTTCCTCACCATGGCTTGAGGTCCAGGCGCCCCTGTGTGGCCCAGCTCCAGGCAGTGCAGGCCAGCGCTCCAGTACCGCTTCAGCACTCCAGCCACGTCTGGCTCCTGCACCTCCAGCACTAGGCCAGGCTCCTCAGCAAACAGCACTGTCAGCGCTGAGGGAGCAAGGTGGGTGAGTCAAGGGGACAAGGGTACTGCCAAGACTCAGGGTGGGACGAAGAACTGGCAGATGGGACTAGGAGTTGTGCCAGGGACTGTGGGAAGTCTGAGAGAGGGCTGTAGTCTGAAACAGAGTGCCACTGGGTAGATGTGGACGGAAGACAGGGAAGACTCAGCAAACAAGCCAGAGATATTCTATTCTTTACCAGATGGGGTCTGCAGGGTGGGAAAGGCAGTTAAGGCCTAAGAGAGACCCTCAGTATCTTACCATCAACCCCTGGGGCAGGCACATCAACCTCTATCCCACAATTCCCAGCAAAGGCCATCTCTAGCAGGCAGGTGATGAGGCCTCCGTCACTGACATCATGACCCGAGCAGAGGCTGCGGTCTAGAGGAAGGAGAAGACGCTCAGCTCCACACACTGCTGAACAGCTGGGGAGAAGGGGGGAGAAGGCAGGCATACGCAGAACCAGGGGTAAGGCCTGAATTGCTCTCGCTCCATACTAGCTCTCTCAGCTTGTGAATCCCTATCACCACACACACCCAGGCTCACTCACCTTTCAGCAAGTCCTGGGTGATGCCAAAGGCTAGTACCAAGTTCTCAGGAAAGTCCAGATCGGGAGGACGGTCCCCAAGCTGGGAGAAGCACTGGGCCAGAGCTGTGCCCCCCAGGCGGTGGTGCCCAGGACTCAGAGGCACGTAGAGGAGATGGCCTGGGGAGAAGGCATGGGGTGACAGGGAGAGGAAGATCCGTCCTTAAAGCATTTGCAGCCTTGCATAATGCCTCCGATTGCCCGTGCCAGAAAGTGACGGCCTGGTGCCGAGAAGATGGTGCCTAGGACTCACAAGGCCGAGGATGGAATCAAACAATGCAGGGAAGGGAATGAGCAGGGAAGGGAATGAATACATACCTCTTCCCCGAGGATGCTTGAGGTCAGGGGTCACGGTGGCTGTGATGTCTGGACAGACAGCGTAGGCTGAGATAACCAGGGACCCTGTAAAATAACAAGGAAGAGGATGGAATTAAACACGACATCAGCCCCACAACCTTCTCCTTCCCTCTTGGGAGCGCCATGCCTTACCAGGAGCCTGCACAGTCTCAGTGCCAACCCGGGCAGCCATGCTGAGGGAATCCTTGCCACCATCCACCGCCACACCCAGCGCTGCCATCACTGCCACCATTGCTTCGCAGGCATCAGCCAGAGCTGCACCCTCCCCTGGGAGCTTGGCTGCCCACATCCAGTTCCCACTGCATTTCACATCCTGGGAACAGTGATGTCGGCATTAGCAAAGAGAGATACACAGAGTCTGGGAGCTTAAGAGCTTAAAAAAATGACGGAGCAAGAAGGAGAACAAGCCACTGATGGTGAAATAGCCAAAAGGCCAGGGCAGAAGCGTCAGGGAGACTCACGCGGAGATCGGTGACTAGAGCAAACACCAGATTGGTGAGGGCTTCGGACACAGCCAGCCTGGCAGCAACCTTGGGGTCCAGCAGGCTCTTCACTGGCTGCTCTCCCAGAGCAGTGGCAGCCCCTATGAGCTCCTGGTGACTTAGAGCCACAACAGCCACGTCAGCCAGAGGAGTCTGAAGGGGCCCTACACACTGCTGCTGGGCTACGAGGCCACCTACAGAGCGGTCAACCTGTGGACCCAGGGACAATTGGCAAGAGGGTAAAGGGACAGGGAGATGACACAGGTTGGTGGGAGATCTGGCTTTCCCCAACTTGTAGGAAAGAGCATGCAGAGGATGAACAGCAAGGAGACCAGGCCATGAGAGAGGGTACCTTGTCCCTGCCACGTACCTCCCTGCCCTCAGGCCTAGGGCCCTCTACCTGAGTCCCTGGGGTGGGGGGGGGGGAGATGCCAGGGAGGACATAAGCAGAAGGAAGGATGTAGGGGTCCTAGTAGGGCATGGGAAACCTTGTTGGTGAGGTAGCGCTTGCTGGCCACAGCAGGCAGCCTTAGAACTCTCTCAAGAGCCTGGCGCACACTCAGCCCAGGTGGCAAGGACAGAGGCTGTAGCAGAGGAGGGTTCCTCTTGAGGAAGAATTCCTGTGATGGAAACAGCAATTGGGATGTTGGAGAATCCAAGTATGGAGGCACACAGGTGACAAAGCACCTGTGTATAGGGTGGGGGTGGGGGGCCTTGGAAGATGGCCATAGGGAAAACACATTCCCATCTCTATTCCACATACCTTCTGAGGCATCTTGCCCAGCACCCATTCTAGTTCCAGGTCCACAGGGGTTGGGGGAGGCCTTGGGGGAACATCTCCCTGGCCATTTCTTCCCAAAGGACACTCACGATCATCCACCAGCACTATCTATGGACCAGAAGGAATGAGACTACAAATATAGCAAGGAATACCACACACACACACACACACACACACACATGCATGCACGCATGCGCGCACGCGCGCACACACATGTCAGGACAGACATGCTCCCTCCACCCTTTGTTTGGCTTCCTCTGCAGAATCCCACCTTCTCTCTCCTGCCTACGTCTATTCCCATATCTATTTGCCATATCACCATCCTCTTCTCTTCTCCCTCCCTTGGCCTCCCAGACAACTCAAGCCTGCCTACAAGTTTTGTTCCCAACTTACCCTCTTGTCTCCGGTGATAGTACCCACAAAGCAAGCAGGGCAGCGTTCCCGGGCACTGACACGACTCAGGAAGTCCCGGTGGCAGGATCTCAGCAAAAGTGCATTTGACTCCTGGTACTCAGCCCCCCAGATTTCCAGGGCATTCAGGGTTGGGTCACCCAGCTGCACAGCCACACAGGAAGGAAGGAAGGAAGAAAGGAAGGAAGGAAGGAAGGAAGGAAGGAAGGAAGGAAGGAAGGAAGGAAGGAAGGAGAAAGGTCAGTGGGCACTGCCATGCTTCACATGGGAATGGAAGGAAGATAGGGAAGGCCAGGTGCTGGGGGGAGGTAGGAAGACACTCACCTGGAAGCAGCTTGTGTAAATGACAGCTCCCGCAGGGTCACTCAGCTCCTTCAGAACATTGCCTAATGAGGGGATTATAAGAAGGGATGGTGGTGACCAGGTCATGGTTAGTTCCATGTAAACAAAGGACTCTCAGTCCCTAATGTCCAACTGTCCCATGGCAACTGGCTCCACTCTCTACCCAATCTTGTCCAAAATGTACAAGGGGGCTAGGTGCCAGTGGCTCATGCCTATAGTTCTAGTTACTCAGGAGACTAAGATTTGAGAGGATGGTGGTTCAAAGCTAGCCTAGGCAAGAAAGTCTGTAAGACTCTTATCTCCAATTAATCCACAAAAAGCCAGAAGTAGAAGTGTAGCTCAAGCAGTTTAGCGCCAGCCTTGAGTGGAGAAAAAAAAAAAAAAGCTAAGGCCAGCACCCAGGCCCTGAGTTCAAGACCTAGTGCCAGCACAGACTCGCATGTGCATCCACACAGAGTACAGTGGGTAAAGAAGTCAATGTGGAGCTGGGCAAAGCCTGCAGATCCTTGATACCTGCCCTGAGTGAAAGCTATCGGGAGACAAGGTAGGTCCAGTGCTCACCATTGCCACCAGCTCCTTGGTCGTGGAGGCTGCAGATGGGGTTTCCCCTAGGAGCCTCCACACAAGCCCGGATCACACGGTTCATCTTCTGCTCCATCTCCGGGTCTCCTCTCTGCACAGCTCCAAAGTCCAGGTCACTGGCATTGTCTCCCTGTACCTGGAGGATCATAAAGCATAGCTCAGTTCATGAAGGCTAGAAAAAAAAGCCACACCCTACCCACCCACCTCTGCAGCACAGTGACAACACAGAATCTGTGACCCTAGCTACTCACACACACCTGCACAGATGAAGCAGCTCCTCCTCCAACTCCAATCCTGTAGACAGGACCCCCAACCTTTACAACTTCCATGCCTACAAGGAAGGAGTGGTGTAGAATCAGGTCATATGGGGACAACAACACAAGAGGCCATTAAAGTAAGGCAGTGTAAGGACAGAGAAAGGCAACATGAGGGGAACAAGATCTTAGCACTTCACTGGGCAGACAAGAGAGCCAACTATTAATCTCTAGACAGGACAATGTGCCTATAAGTACACAAACACAGCTATTCTTTGGGAAAATGCTTCAAATAATTCAACCTAGCTGGAGCCAATAATTCACATCTGTAATACTAACTGCTCAAGAGGTTAAGATCTGAGGATCATAGTTCAAAGCCAACCCAGGCATGATCACCAATTAAAGACCAAAAAGAAGCTAGAAAAGGAGGTGTGGGGGGCTGGGAAGGTGGCTCAGTGATAGAGCGCTTGCCTTGCATGCCTGAGGCCTGGTTCGATTCCTCAGCACCACATAAGCAAAAAGAAAAAAGCCAGAGTGGCGCTGTGGCTCAAGTGGTAGAGTGCTAGCTTTGAGCTGAAGAGCTGAGGGACAGCACCTAGGCCCAGAGTTCATTCAGGCCCCACGACCGGACCCAAAACAAAAAAACAAAAAAAAGAAAAAAGAAAAGGAGGTGTGGCTCAAGTGGTAGAATGCTGACCTTGAGCAAAGAAAGCTCAGGGACAGCATCCAGACCTTGAGTTCAAGCCCCAGACTGGCCTGTGCGTGCACGCGTGTGTACACACACACACACACACACACACACACACACACACACACACACACAAAATCAAGGGCTGGGAAGGTGGCTCAGTGGTAGAGTGCTTTCCTCGCATGCATGAGGCCCTGGGTTCGACGACTCAGCACCACATAAGCAGAAAAAGCTGGAAGTGGTGCTGTGGCTCAAGTGGTAGAGTGCTAGCCTTGAGCTGAAGAACGGAGGGACAGCACCCAGGCCCAGAGTTCAGGCCCCACGACCAACAAAAAAGAAAATCAAAATGGTATCAGAGGGACTAAGGATGTAATTCAATGGCAGATATTTTCCTTAGCATTTTGAGACCTGGGTTCAATCATCAAAAGAAAAAGAAAAATGCATCATAAACCTAAAGATAGAAATTAAAATTACAAAAGTATTTGAAGAAAACATACAAGTAAATCTTTGTACCTTGGATTAGGCAATTCTTTCTTATTGACATACACTGCAAACAAAAAAAAAGGGAAAAAAATACACCTAGCTACTTAGGAGAATGGCTAAGATCTGGGGATGTGTTTGAAGCTAGCACAGGCAATAAGGTCCATGAGACTCAAGTGGTAGAGCACCAGCCTCAAGTAAAAAAGCTAAGGGACAATGACCAGACCCAAAGTTCAAGCCCCAGTGACAACGGAAAAACAAACACCAAAAAAACACTGCAACCAAAGGGCTTCACAACCCTCTCCTGGCAGCTGCCCTGCACTAGGAAGCTGGCTAGACAGATTAAAGTGGCAGGCTCTCACCAGGCTCTGGGGGCTCCTTGCCCACATGCTCATCTTCCATGGAACCAATTCCACCGCTAAACATAATGGGCTTGATCCACTCACGCCGCTGACCATTTGGGAGCTGGAGTCCGAAGGAACGGGCAAAGCCTGGAATGTAAACATCACAGGTGGGAAGAAGGGACTAGTCCCCAGCCCAGTATCTTCACCCCTGGACCACACTGTCTCCAAGTCCCTCTAGGATTGACGTCTAATATTCTCACATATTCCCCAGGCTTACCAGCTAGCACTGGTTCCCCAAACTTGTTGCCATAGTCTGAAGCCCCATTACTGGCCTCAATGGCAACCTCCAGGGGTCGGGCAAAGTTCCCAGGGTACTGGAAGCTTGGATCTTCCCAGGGAAGATCGTAACCTGAGAGGGAAGAAGAAACCTGAATAGACTGTAAAGATGAAAGACAGAGGATGCATTGCAGGGAAAAGTATAAGCTATCATGGACTACCTGGTGGGTGGGAGGTGGAGAGCCTGCTGAGTACTGGTTTGCTCTTCACCTCCCACACCAGCCTTCCTTCCTCTCAACATCAGATTTCTTCATGGGACAGAGGATGAAACTCAAAAGTTTTGCACATGCTAAACAAGAACTCTTTATCACTGAGCTACATACACCTTCCAGTCCCAGAATCAGACTTCTTCAAGCTTAAGAAGCTGGATTTCTGGAGCTGGGAATGTAGCTTAGTGGTAGAGTGCTTGCCTAGCATGCATGATGCCCTCTGTTGGATTCCTCAGTACCACATAAACAGAAAAGCCAGAAGTGGTGCTATGGCTCGAGTAGTAGACTTCTAGCCTTGAGCATAGTGAGCCTCAGGGACAGAGCCCAAGCCCTGAGTTCAAGGCACCAGACCAGCAAAAAAATAAAAGGAAATAAAAAGAGGGGCTGGGAAGGTGGCTCAGTGGTAGAGCGCTTGCCTTGCATGCTCAAGGCCCTGGGTTCGATTCCTCAGCACCACATAAGCAAAAAGAAAAAAGCCGGAAGTGGTGCTGTGGCTCAAGTGGTAGAGCACTAGCCTTGAGCTGAAGAGCTGAGGGATAGTGCCCAGGCCCAGAGTTCAGGCCCCACGACTGGACCCAAAAAAAAAAAAAAAGAAAAAGAAAAGAAACTGAATTTCTGGCAAAAGTGTTGATGTACAGATCTACCCTGAACGGTAGTTTCTTTCTTCTTTCTTTTTTGCAAGTCCTAGGGTTTGAACTCAGGGCCTAGTGTTGTCCCCAGCCTCCTCTTTGTGCTCAAGGCTAGCACTCTAGCACTTTGAGCCACATCACCAATTCCAACTTTTTCTGAGTAGTTTATTGAAGACAAGTGACTCACAGACTTTTCTGTCCAGGCTGGCTTTGAACCACAATCTTCAGATCTCAGCCTCCTGAGTAGCTAGAATTACAAGCATGAGCCACTTGTTGTTTGGTTTGTTTTTTGTTGATCGTGGGGCTTGAATTCTGGGCCTGGGTGCTGTCCCTGAGCTCTTTAGCTCAAGGCAAGCACTCTACCACATGAGCCACAGTGCCAATTCCAGTTTTCTGGTGGTTAATTGGAGATAAGAGTCTCCCAGACTTTCCTGCCCTACCCGGGCTGGCTTTGAACCATGATCCTCAGATCTCAGCCTCCTGAGTAGCTAGGATTACAGGCATGAGGTGCCCAGCTGGATGGTAGTTTCTAAAGAAAAATTATGGTTCTACAAAGCCAGTTCTAAGAAAAGACATCCAGATGACTTTGTCCTATGAGAAAAAAGTTTGGTGCCTGCCAGAACAAAGAATCTGGAAAGAAGGTGAGTAGAAAGGAGATGGCACCTGGGATGTGCAGGTTTCCAAAGCAATAACCAGCAGTGCCAGCCACCACATGGGCCCCACGGCCCGTGCACTGGACATCTCGTATCCGGCCCCCTGTGCCCGTGGTTGCTCCACTGAAGGGGGCCACTCCTGCAAGGCAAAAGGGAAGAGGTGTGGGTGTCACAGAGACAAACCCAACCCTGACCACCCATAGGATTAAGAACAAACAGCTTCCCTGTTTCAGGCTCAGCCCAGAGTCCTGGGCCCTTGACCTTCCCTTTCTCCCTAACTTTACCTAATCTCTTACCTGTAGGAAAGTTGTGTGTCTCTGCAGTGAAAACAACATGTCTCAACCTCTGCTGTTGCCGAAAGCAGCTCGGCTGTGTAGGGTCCTCAGGCTGTAGAAATCGGACTGCCTTCCCCTGGATTGCACTGTGGACACATCCATTCTGTTCCCTGCTCTCTTCCTGATCTATACCAAACCAACGAGGGCCTGGGCCTCCTATCCCTGAGTCTCAAGGCCCCCCCATCCAGCCCCGGGCACTGCCAACCTGCTATTGTCACAGAACTTGAGGACATTATTGGGATTTGAAGATTTCTGGGTACTCATGATGGACTCAAATAGAGAGTGTGGCAGCTTTTCCCCATCCACGTAGAGCTGGCCCTTGAAGAACCAGTGTCGGCTATGCTCACTGGAGGGTGACATGAAGAGGGAAAGGTAGAGAGGAACAAGAGTCATTCTTCAGTATTATGTATTCTCAACAGGACTTACAACCTATTCTTTTTTTTTTCAATTGTCTATTTATTTCATTTATGTGGTACCAAGGAATTGAACCCAAGCACTCTGCCACATTCCCAGCCCCTAAAGCCTATTCTTACTATTTGTTGTTTTGTGCTAGTCCCAGGGCTTGAACTCCAGGGATAGGCACTGTCCTTTAGATTTTGTGCCCAAAGCTAGTGCTGTACCACTTGAGCCACAGATAGATTTCCAGCTTTTCTAGTGCTTAATTGGATATTAGGGTCTCATGGACTTTTCCTACCCATGCTGGCTTTGAACCAGATCCTCAGATCTCAGCCTCTTTTTTTTGGGGGGGGGGGGGAGTCTGGTTGTGGGTCCTGAACTCTGGGCCTGGGCGCTGTCCCTCAGCTCTTCAGCTCAAGGCTAGCGCTCTACCACTTGAGCCACAGCACTACTTCCAGCTTTTTTCTTTTTGCTTATGTGGTGCTGAGGAATCGAACCCAGGGCTTCTTGCATGCAAGGCAAGCGCTCTACCACTAAGCCACCTTCCCATCCCCTCAGCCTCTTGAGTAGCTAGGATTATAGACATGAGCCACCACCAGCACTGGGCCTTACTTAGTATTTCTAATAGGTCAAAATACATTCCAGATATCTATTATTTAACACTCTGCTACAGTGGACTATTCAAAGTGAAGATCACACCAAAGTCTTGAAGGTAGATTCCTGGATGGGCAGAGGAACCTAGGTATTCCAACAGACTCAAGGAGGTCCCTACAGGGAGGGACAGCCAAGAGGAAAAGTCCTTATGGCCTTCCCTTCTAAACTCCATGGGATTGACCCCATTCCTCCTCACCTATTGGACTGAGCCAAATCAAAGGCCTCTACAGTGCTCGGGTTCCGCTGAAGCTCCTGAAAGCGCTTGGTGTAGAAATCCAGGTCCCAGGAGTCCAGAGCCAGACCTGGGAGACAAACTCAGAGCTGGAGGAGCTGACTGTAGTCCTCAGGGAACATACTTCAGGTCTCGGCGTCCCTGCTGGACTATCCTGGCCTGGTTCCTACCTCTCCCAGGGACCCCTGCTTACCTAGCTCCTGGTTGGCTTTCTCCAGGGCAGCCCGACCCTCAGCCAGTATGTTAATGGGACCATGAAGAGGGGCCGGGATGTTCTCAGGGGAGAAGCTCTGGATGGGATTGGGAAAGTGCTGCTCCGTCATCCGGTCATGGAGGGCAACCAGAGCAATGGCTTCTGTCTCAGCCGAAGGAGGGTGGGCAAACTAGCAATGAGACACACACGCAGATCAAGGGATAGTTTTGAAGAATGGAAAGAAAGGGACTATCCTCAGCCCTTCAATGCAATGCCAATCTGCTTCATCTTCATAGTATGTGTTTTGTTTTGTTTTTATTTTTTGCAGTGCTGGGTATCGAACCCAGGACCATATATATATATATGCTAGGTAAGCAATTATCACTAAGCTACATTCTTAGATCCCACGTAGCACCTTTGATTAGGCCACACAAAAGCCTCCCTTCCAGGCATGAATCTATGCCAGAATGTAAATTTGTTCAAGAAGCCCAGACTGGACTCCTAATCAGGTGCCTTCAGGTAAGCAAACAACTTTCACAACCATACAGCTTTTTCCCCATGTTTCCAATGACCTCATGAGAGTTTAGGAGCTAATCTCTTAACTCTGGTCCATCTGGTCCACCTGATTCTCTATCTGACAGTCTACTGACTCACTGAAAGCCGGTAGCGCCGGGTAGTCTCCACTCGTTCCACTGCCTCCAATCCAGAAGCCTGGCACACAGAAACAATGTTGGTGGACAGTGGGGTTGAAAAATTCAGCCTGAGGAGTAAAAGAGATGATTAGAATCTGAGAGTCTGCAGGGCTCAGCTGGAAGTGGATCTTGCTCACCACTGTCCAACTCCCACTATTCTTTTTCTATAGGCTAAGACTGGTCACCAAGAAACTTGCTTTCAAAAGTCCCTCTCAAGTCCAGCACCTGTAGCTTACACCATAATCCTAACTATTCAGGAGGCTGAAAACCAGAGGATAGCGATTTGAGGCCAGCCTGAACAGAGACGTCTGAGAGACTCCATTTCCTAACCAATAAAAACTAGGTTGAAGAAGAGGCTCAAGTGATAGAACACCAGCTAAGCAAGTACAAAGTCCTGAGTTCAAACCTTGGTAAAATTAAAAAAAAAAAAGTCAGCCAGGCACCAGTGGCTCATGCCTGTAATCCTAGCTAGTCAGAAGGCATCTCAGGGGCTGGGAAGGTGGCTCAGTGGTAGAGTGCTTGCCTTGCATGCTCAAGGCCTTGGGTTCGATTCCTCAGCACCACATAAGCAAAAAGCTGGAAGTGGCGCTGTGACTCAAGTGGTAGAGCGCTAGCCTTGAGCTGAAGAGCTGAGGGACAGCACCCAGGCCCAGAGTTCAGGCCCCACGACAGACCCCCCCCCCCCCCAAAAAAAGGCATCTCAGCCTTGATCTCACAAGGTTCAAAGGCAGCCCAGGCAGAAAAGTCTATGAGACTCTTTTTTTTTTTTTTTTTTGGTCCGGTCGTGGGGCCTGAACTCTGGGCCTGGGCACTGTCCCTCAGCTCTTCAGCTCAAGGCTAGCGCTCTACCACTTGAGCCACAGCGCCACTTCCGGCTTTTTTTCTTTTTGCTTATGTGGTGCTGAGGAATCGAACCCAGAGCCTCAGGCATGCAAGGCAAGCGCTCTACCACTGAGCTACCTTCCCAGCCCCTCTATGAGACTCATATCCCCAATAAACCAGATAACTAAAAGTGGTACTGTGGCTCAAAGTGTAGCCTTGAGCAAAAACCCTCAGGGACCATCCCTGAGCTCCATCCCTATGACCAACAAAAAAAAAAGTCACTCAACAACAAGAAAAAAAGTCAAGTGCTGGTGGCTCATGCCTGTAATACTAGCTATTCAGAAGACTACTATCTATGTTCAAAACCAGACTGGACTGGAAAGTCCACAAGACTTATCTCTAATTAGCCAGCAAAAAGCAGGAAATGGAATCGCTATGGATCATGGGTAGAACACCAGTCTTGAGCAACAGCTCAAGGAACAGCTTCCAGGCCCTGAGTTCAAGCCCCAGTGCCAGCATAAAAAACAAAAATAATAAACAAAAAACCAGCTGCACCCAAAACTTACCAGAATGCAAGCTGGTTCAGTCTTCAGAGGCACCTATTACACAGGCCTCCTGATCAGGAAGCAGGATGGATCCCAAAGATGGGATTTTGAAAACCAAAATCCCCCAAGGACCAAAAGAAGAAGGGGTGGAATGGAAGAAGGAGGAGATCCTGAGTGTGAAAGGAAAGATGAGCCTTGAAACATCAAAAAAGCTGTCCCAGGATGAACACACATACCTGGGCCCAACCTCCAGCAGCAGGTCATTGGGGCCAGGAAGGAGCCAGGATTTCTGAGCAACATCATCCATTAACAGGGGGCAGCCAAACAGCCATAACAGCTTCTTCATCTCCTCAGCACTTGGTAGGGCTGTGGCTGCAGGAAGACAGGGCACAAGAGAGACTGAGGAACCTCCTGGCACCAGGGAACCTCCTTCAAGAATCCAATACCTGGGCCCAACCTGTCCAGTCCACATTGTAGCACAGCTCTGTCTCAACACTCTGTAGCTCTGGGAGTTTCCCTTGAAGTCTCCGTAGAGTATGTCCAGATGCTGCTCCCTCATGGCCAGAGGGCCGAACATAAAAGTGAAGCACTGGAGACATCTCTGCAGGTATCTTTCCTGAAGTGATGAGTTAGGATCCTTAAAAAAAAAAAAATAACAAGAATTTATGTGCAAAAATGATTTCAAGTTTCTCATTTTGGAGTGTGAGGTAGAAGTACTTGGGTTTGGGCTGGGAAGGAGGCTCAGTAGTAGAGCACTTGCCTTGCATGCCTGAGGCCCTGGGTTCGATTCCTCAGCACCACATAAGCAAAAAGAAAAAAGCCGGAAGTGGCGCTGTGGCTCAAGTGGTAGAGCACTAGCCTTGAGCTGAAGAGCTGAAGGACAGTGCCCAGGCCGAGTTCAAGCCCCACGACTGGACGCCCCCCCCCAAAAAAAAAAAAGAAGTACTTGGGTTTGAACCAGGGCAAAGCACTTGCTTAAGCAGGTACTGTACTTTTTGAGCTACTTCATCAGTGCTAACTTCAAGTTTCAAGGACAGTCTAGACATTAGTGATGAAGTAGGAAAAAATAACAGGGGCATTCAGAGAAACAAGGTAACCTTAAGATTTTAATGAATCTGCAAAACAGGGGCTGAGTGCAGCTCAATGGTAGAGCATGTGTTTAGCATATGTGAAGCCCTGGGTTTAACCTCAGTATTTGCATCCACCCCTAATCACCAAGTGGATGTTGGTAGTATGGGATGGAGTGCACATGCACAGTCCTTGGGATTCATACAAGATCTTAGGAACATCACTGTGAAGACAGAAGGCAGAAGCCATGTCTGCTGTCCCAGAACTAGCTATTTAGCACAACTGACCTCTAACTCACAATCCTGCTGTTACCACACTCGCCTAAAATGCACCAGTCGCACTAGTTTCCCTTCTATTCCTCAAATTTTCCAGGCTCAGTCCTAAAGGACATTATTTAACCTGGTATTTGCAGGTCTAGCTCTTTGTAGTTACTTAAAATTCCAGAGGGAAGGCACCTTCAAAGGCCTTATTTGACCAGCCACTGGTTTTTTGTTTTTTTTGTGTTTGGTTTTTTTTTTTTTTGAGGGGGGCTTGAACTCTGTGCTTGGGAGCTGCTCTTCAGCTCAAGGCTAGTGCTCTACCACTTGAGCCACAGCTCCACTTCTGGTTTTCTGGTGGTTAACTGGAGATAAGAGTCTCACAGACTTTTCTATCCTGGCTGGCTTGGAACCTCAATCCTCGGATCTCAGCCTCCTGAGTAGCTACGATTACAGGCATGACTCACCACACCCAGCCCAGCCACTCTTAAGTAGCCATTACTTGACAACTTAATATTCAATTTGTTTGGTATTTACCACTTTAAAAGTTTTGGCTTTTAGGGGCTGGGAAGGTGGCTCCGTGGTAGAGTGCTTACCTTGCATGCATGAGGCCCTAGGTTTGATTTTTAGCACCACGTAAGCAGAAAAGGCCCCAAGTGGCACTGTGGCTCAAGTGGTAGAGTGCTAGCCTTGAGCTGAAGAGCTGAGGGACAGCGCCCAGGCCCAGAGTTCAGGCCCCACAACCGATCAAAAAAAAAAAAAAAGTTTTGGTTTTTACTATATACTCCACACTAGAACAAAATCTAATGGGCTGCGCCTGCTTCATATCCATTGAATCAGCAAAGCTTAAAAACAGCACCCACTTTAAAAACAAAAAACTCCAGCTTAAAAACCAGACAAACGAGGGGCTGGGAAGGTGACTCAGCGGTAAAGTGCTTGCCTCCCATGCATGAGGCCCTGGGTTCGATTCCTCAACACCACATAAACAGAAAAGGCCAGAAGTGATGCTCAAGTGGTAGAGTGCTAGCCTTGAGCTGAACAGCTGAGGGACAGCGCTCAGGCCCAGACTTCCAGCTCCATGACTGACCAAAAAAAGCAATACAAACGAAAACTTGTTGACTGAAAGATTCCTACACAACTTAGCCCTCCCTCCGCATCTCCCCCCACACACACACTTCAGGCTAGTCTTCACTGAAATCATCTTCCTATTTTGATCTTTCACTTCCAATTTAAGATAAACCCCAGGAGCACAGGGATGGGTTCCGTCTACAACAGGGCTCTACCCCTAACGACGAGCGTACTGCAAAGCAGACGACCGGCAAACTAGAAAATAAATACGTGGGATGAGGAAGGGAGGTGGGCTTCCCACGTGGTCGGTCATCCCATCAAGGGTCAGTGGAAGACGCTCACCAGAGGACGATCCCCACTACAGCAGGAACACGGGCCCCAGACGCCCTAACTCCGCCTGCCCCAGGGGCTGAGCCCGTCCAGACGGCGCTCGGAAACCGGGAAGAAGGAGCGAAGAGCCGGGGCTGGAAGCGTGAGGACTGTCCCGCTTACCCCAGAGCCGGCGGCCGCTCACGGCGCTCCAGGTCCCCGCCTTCGCTGACGTCATCCCCGCGCGCCGAGGACGGGGGCGGGGCCCCGGAGGCCCGCGCCTCGCCCGCGGGGCTTCGTCGCCCCCACCCACTTCCTCTGGCGGTCCGTGGGTGGGCGCCTGGCTGTACTTGGTAGGAAAGTCTAATGCTAGGTTACGAATTTGGCTTCTAGGTCACGAATTTGGAGGAGTAGAGAGAGTTCTTGAAGGATAATGGGAACTATTAGATGCTAGCGAGCGACTGGGTCCATGAAGGGATAGAGGAGGTGTCAGGTCTCTTGCAGGTTTATAGGCCTTTTAGCCATAGGTGGATCTTCATGTAATGCGAGTGATGGGGCTTAGCAGCTGAGTGGGTGCAAGGTGGTAGTTGCTGTTACCAGGGGCTTGAACTCAAGCTTGCACTTTCCTGCCTGCTTTGCTACTTGTTTGACTGGTGCTGTACCACTTGAGCCATGTCACCAGACCAGGTTTTTGTTAATTGGAGACATGGGTCTCTTATTCCTTCAACTAGCTTTGAATTAAGAGAGAACCTAAAGGGAAGTCCTTAAGACGGGCGCTGGTGGCTCATGCCTGTAATCCTAGCTGCTCAGGAGGCTGAGATCTGAGGATCACAGTTCAAAGCCAGCCAGGGCACGAAAGTCCATGAGACTTATCTCTCATAAACCACCAGAAAACTGGAAGTGGCACTGTGGCTCAAGTGGTAGAGCTCTAACCTTGAGCTGAAGAGCTCAGGACAGCATCCAGACCCAAAGTTAAAACCTCATGACCAACCCCCCCCCCACACACACACACAAAAAGGAAGTCTTTAAGTGGGACCAATAGAGTGGTGTCCATAATAACTTTCTAGTTAAAGAAATAAAAGAGGGGATCAACTTTGGGAAGAATAGTCACTTTCGGCCCAAAGTTCAGATGATGCTTCCTCCTTTGAGTGACTCAGAGAGATTCCTAGGCTTTGGCTTTCCTAAAGCTATGCAGTTTTTTGTTTTGTTTTGTTTGTCAGTCATGGGGCTTGAACTCTGGGCCTGGGCGCTGTACCTCAGCTCTTCAGCTCAAGGCTAATATTCTACCACTTGGGCCACAGTGCCACTTCTGGCTTTTTTCTGTTTATGTGGTACTGAGGAATTGAACCCAGGGCCTCATGCATACGAGAAAAGCCACTCTATGATTGAGCCACCTTCCCAGCCCCCAGAGTTCTGAATTAAATGTGATAAGGGACTTTCCCCACCTTGACCAATCTCAATAAGAGAATTATGACAGAACTGATGTCAGAGCTTTTGGTCCAAGAGGTCTATCTTCATGTTCTAAGAAATATCCTTTTCTGCCAGGCACCAGTGGCTCATGCCTGTAATCCTAGCTACTCAGGAGGCTGAGATCTGAGGATCACAGTTCAAAGCCAGCCTGGGCAGGAAAGTCCATAAGACTCTTTATCTCCAATTAATCACTAGAAAACTGGAAGTGGTGCTGTGGATCAAGCAGTAGAGCGCTCACCTTGAGCTGAAGAGCACAGGGACAGCCCCCAAGCCCAGAGTTCAAGCCCCACGACTGACAAAAAAAAAAAAAAAAAAAAAAATATATATATATATATATATATATATATATATATAATTTTCTCCAGAAAGCAAAAATAAAAGGATATCTTTCTAAATCTTTGAGAGATTTGTCCAAAGATGGTATTAGTTGTTTTGGGAGAGGGTTCTCTCCCAAGATAGACCACCAAAAGTGTGAGGTCCTGGGGCTCCAGCAGGTGCACCGAGTATGAAAGAATTCACCAAGAGGCAAGCAAGGACACAAAAGTTTATTCACTTTCCAAGGGAAAGTGACATAGACATAGACAGTGTAACCCTGAGTAGGGTTAGAGCTGAAGTTTATGAGCATTTAAGATATAGAAGGAAGCCAGGAGCCAGTGGTTTACATCTTACACTCACTGCCAGGAGGTTGAGATCTGAGGGTCATGGTTCAAAGCCAGTGCATGCAGACAAATTGAGAGACTGTTTTTTTTTGGGGGGGGGGTCCAGTGGTGGGGCCTGAACTCTGGGCCTGGGCGCTGTCCCTCAGCTCTTCAGCTCAAGGCTAGCACTCTACCACTTGAGCCACAGCGCCACTTGTGGCTTTTTTCTTATGTGGTGCTGAGGAATCGAACCCAGGGCCTCAGGCATGCAAGGCAAGCGCTCTACCACTGAGCCACCTTCCCAGCCCCTGAGAGACTATTTTCTATAATTAACCAGTAAAAACTTAGACGTGGAGGTGTGGTTCAGATGGTTAAATGCCAGCCTTGACTAACAAAAGCTAAGAAAGAGTATAAGGCTCTGCGTTTAAGCCCAATGACCAGCATACATACATATACACACAGCTATAAGAATGCTGACTTTTCTGTCAGTCATGGGGCTTGGAGTCTGGGGCCTGGGCACTGTCCCTGAGCTCTTCAGCTCAAGGCAAGCATACTACCACTTGAGCCATCATGCCACTTCCGGTTTTCTGATGGTTTATTGGAGATAAGTCTCATGGCCTTTCCTACCCAGACTGGCTTTGAACCTCTATCCTCAAATCTCAGCCTCCTGAGTAGCCAGGATTACAGAAGTGAACCACCAGCACCTGGTGAATGCTGACATTTCTTTGTTTCTTCTTCTCCTTCCCCTTCTCCTTCTCCCTCTCCCTCTCCCTCTCCTCCTCCTCTTCCTCCTCCTCCTCTTCCTCCTCTTCCTTCTACTTCTTCTTCTGTCCTAGGCTTGAACTCAGGGTCTGGGCACTGTCCCTGAGCTTCTTTGCTCAAGGGTAGTGCTCTACCTCTGGAACCACAGCACCACTTCTGGCTTTTTCTGTGTATATGGTACTAAGGAATCAATCCTAGGGCTTAACACATGCTAGGCAAACACTCTACCACTAAGCCACATTCCCAATCCAAACGCTGACATTTTGTAGTTTTAGTTCAGTTAGCTGTTCTAAGAACTGCTGCAGGGCTGGGAAGGTGGCTCAGTGGCAGAGTGCTTGCCTTGCATGCATGAGTCCCTGAGTTCCATTCCTCAGCACCACATAAGCAGAAAAAGCCAGAAGTGGCACTGTGGCTCAAGTGGTAGAGTGCTCGCCTTGAGCTGAAAAGCTCAGGGGCAGTGCCTAGGCCCAGAGTTCAAGCCCAGGACTGGAAAAAAAAAAAACAAAAACTGCAAAGGTCAGTTAATGTTTTACAAAGGTGGCTGGTTGTCAGTTTGAACAATCCTTTCAGGAACATTTGTTAAAACATGACACAGATAAGGTTCTACTTAAGTTCAGATCCATTTCTGCAAAATAGAACAGCCTTCCTGCCAGAAAAAAAAAAAAATGAAGCCCTTTATAAAATAGAATAGGATAGGCTGATTTGAATTAGGGGCCCTTACAATGATCTTGTTAATCTGTGAAGACAGGATGCCAGTAAGACAGAAGTTCCTCTTCAGTTGGAATGAATGGAACTGATTGAATAAAAGATGGCTAACAGGGGCTTGGAAGGTGGTAGAGCTCAGTGGTAGAGCTTGCATGCATGAGCCCTGGGTTTGATTCCTCAGCACCACATAAGCAAAAAGAAAAAAGCTGAAAGTGGCGCTGTGGCTCAAGTGGTGGAGTGCTAGCCTTGAGCTGAAGAGCTGAGGGACAGCGCCCAGGCCCAGAGTTCAGGCCCCACAACTGGACCACCCCCCACCCCCAAAAAAAAGATGGCTGACAGATTGACTATCAGCTAATCTCTAACTTCATTATAAACCATGACAATGATTGGAACAATAAAACTGAACAAAAAAAAAAAAAATGAGCAAAAGAGGCTGTGCCTGCCGGGCGCTGGTGGCTCACGCCTGTAATCCTAGCGACTCAGGAGGCTGAGATCTGAGGATCGCGGTTCAAAGCCAGCCTGGGCAGGAGAGACTGTGAGACTCCTATCTCCAATAAACCACCAGAAAACCGGAAGTGGCGCTGTAGCTCAAGTGGTAGAGCACTTGCCTTGAGCTGAAGAGCTGAGGGACAGCGCCCAGGCCCAGAGTTCAAGCCCTACGACCGACAAAAATAAAAAAAAGAGGCTGTGCCTGAATTCCTGAAAAAAGCTCTGCCTATTAAGGAGGGAACCAGCACTAGTCTGCCTGACTCCAATTTTTTTTTTTTTTCGTCGGTCATGGGGCTTGAACTCTGGGCCTGGGCGCTGTCCCTGAGCTCTTCAGCTCAAGGCTAGTGCTCTACCACTTGAGCCACAGCACCATTTCTGGCTTTTTCTGCTTATGTGGTTCTGAGGAATTGAACCCAGGGCTCCTTGCATGCAAGGCAAACACTCTACTACTAAGCCACCTTCCCAGCCCCTGACTCTATTTTTTTTAACCTCCGCTATATTAACCTTTTTTTTTTTTTTGAGACCCCCGTCCTTCACATCACCTTGGGACTCTAGAAGGACAGAATTAATAGATAAATATCTTGTGACAAAAGTTGAAACTCATGCTGGAGGTGTGGCTCAAGTGGTAGAACACCAGCCTTGAGTGAGAAAATTGATCTTGAGGCCCTGACTTCAAGCCCTAGTGGTGGGGAAAAAAAGTAAAAAACTGGAACTTCAATAATGCTTGGATTTGTCTCTGTGTGTGTGTGTGTGTGTGTGTGTGTGTGTGTGTGTGTGTGTGTACGTGTACCAGTTTGAGGGCTTGCATTTAGGGTTTAGGCACTGTCCCTGAGCTTTTTTGCTCAAGGCTAATGCACTACCACTAAAGCCACAGCTTCACTTTTGCATTTTTAGTGGTTAATTGTTGATAAAAGTCTCATGGACTTTCCTGCCCTGGCAGAGTTCCAACAACCATCCTGAAATCTCAGCCCCCAGAGCAGCTGGGATTACAGACAGGCCTGAGACACAGGTACCTAGCAGCTATGCTTTTTTGCTGATTCCCAGACTGATACCCATTTCTTATTGTGCCCAGAGTTGGCCCCACCCTCTTAGAGTAGAGATCCAGTAAT